TATTAGAATTTTTCTTTTATATATATGCGGCATACAAAGAAATTTTTCGGATGTTAATTGCAATTCTCAAAAATCTTCGACCACTTGTAAATGTCTTCTCAGATTTATATTTTCGAACTGTTTACTATATCTTCAATTGCATCTATTTTTTTGTGACGAAACAATCTGTTAAACGTCCTGAAGATCACCTGCTGTTGTTAAGCGCAACAAAAGCTGCCAAACTGATTCATGATGGCGAGGTTTACAGTTTTTTTCTGTTAATTTCTGTTTATAGAAGAACTTTTTAAATTACATGGTTGATGTAAGATGTTTTTGTAAACAATTTATGCAGTTAAAAATACACCGATTGTAAAGCTATGTATTTTTTTCTTTCAGCTTTCCTCTGTTGATCTTGTTGATGCATATATTGAACGAATTCGTGAAGTAAATGGCATAATAAATGCTGTAGTGCAGAATGACTTTATAAAAGCTCGTGAAACAGCTCATGAAATTGATGATTTTATTAAAAATCATCAAAGGAGTACTGAAGAATATGAAGCGGTATTTATTTGTTTGTTAAACTGTTTGATTACTGAAAAAAAAATTTTAAAATAATTGTAACTTTTCAAAATAAAACTTCAGATTATAAATTTTATATTTCTGATTGCTATTTAGCTAAATTTTTATAGTTTTTCGCTGGAAAGCCATTGTTGGGTGTCCCGTTTACGCTTAAAGACTGTATTGAAGTAGAAGGACTGGTGTGCAGCGTTGGAATGACCTATCGTCGTGATACTCGACCCGACAAAGATGCAATTGTTGTTCAACGGTTGTGTAGAATGAAAAATTTCTGAAATTTTTCAAACAAATATGGTACAATTTTTCGTTTCACAGTATGGTTTAGGATGAAAGAAGCAGGAGCGATTGTTTTGGCTATTACAAATGTTCCAGAGGTTTGCATGTGGTGGGAATCTGTCAACACCCTATATGGTCGTTCAAAAAATCCATATGATACCCGACGTATTACCGGTGGTAGCAGTGGCGGCGAAGCTGCATTAATTGGAGCAGCTGGTTCTGTGATAGGCTTAGGAAGCGACATTGGTGGTTCTATTCGTATGCCGTGTAACTTTAACGGTATCTTTGGTTTAAAGCCCACACCTGGTAAGTGTTCTTGTTCTTTACAATCTAACTTGCGGTAGCACTCACATAAAAGTTGTTTATTTTTTGGAAGGTGTATATAGAATAAAAAATATGAAGTTACATTTGAGGTTTCGTTCCACTTACTGGACACTGGCCTGCAGCTGAAGGGTACAGAGTCGAAATGTTACGCATCGGTCCTATGTGCAGATATGCTGAAGATCTGCTGCTAGTTCTTAAAGTATTTATATTTTTAAAATAATTTTTTGAGTTTTCTTTTATAAAAGATAGTCAGCTTTAGAGATGTTGTAAGTTAAAGGTTTATTAATGAACTTAATCTTTTTAAGTAACACATCTACTCTTTCAGGTTTTAGTCGGTAATGAGCTGGCTGCAACGCTTCAGCTTCAAAATCCTGTAAATCTACGAAAATTGCGTTTGTTTTACATGGAAGGTTTGAAAACTCCTTTTGCCCAGACTGTTAGTTTTGAATGCAAAGACGCAGTACGGAAGGTTTGTGTCATTACTATTTTTTAATACTTTTATGCGATTTTGCCGATTATAGTACGACGACCCAAGTTTAAGGCAGTGATGTTCTTTGAAACAAAATACGACGTTTGTGGTATACGTCTTGACCTACCATTTGCTCATTATGCAGTTGAATTTTTTTTGCTGAGTATGGAAGTGCCAGAATCTCCTTCTTTTGCTCGCTATATGACAGATTTAACGGTTACTTTTGACCTCTAAAATTATATTTTATAAATGACTAAAGAGTGTTATGCACAGGTTGAAAAAATTCTGTGACTTCTTGCATGAGAACCATTAGTGCTTTTGATTTTAAGCCAACCTATTTTAAGCCAGCTAATTTCTAATTTGCGAAGTGTATTTCCACAAAATTTCTTTGGACAACGTTTTACTAAAACTTATTATATTGCATTTGCAGACCGACCTGAACTGTCTTTTGGAGCTTGGTAAATGGGTTGTGGGGAAATCAAATCATACATTGCCTGGCATAATCGCCGGCATAATAGACAAACAATCACCATTCAACGAAGATCAGAAAGCGAAGGTAACACATCTCAGCCTTCCAAAAGAAGTTGTTAATTTAATAAGTTAGTTTAGTATTAGCTTTTAATGTGTTTGTTCGCTTGATATACGAATTGTTGCAACGTTTAGTTACTTGCTCAACGAGACCGCCTGAACAGGGAGCTGAAGGAATTACTATTAGACGACGGTATTCTGTTGTTTCCATCATTCCCCACCGTGGCACCGTATCATAATCAGCCACTTTTTACGCCACTTAATTTTGCCTATACCGCCTTGTGGAATACGCTAGCTCTCCCAGTGGTCCAGTGTCCACTCGGACTCAATCGATGGGGCCTTCCAATTGGAGTTCAAGCTGTTGGTTCACCAGGGACGGATCGTCTGCTGATTGCTTTAGCAAGAGATCTAGAAGATGCATTCGGCGGTTGGAGGCCCGCAATTGATTAGACAGTTCTTAGAATTATTCCTTTCTAATTTTTCTTATTCTTCTGAGCAGCGCTCAATTTAAGTAAAACTTGTTGAAATCAACAATATGTTTATTAAGTGATGATGTTGTTTCACTGTTTTCCAGGTAGTGTATTTGTAGAAACTTTTTGCAATCTTGTCCAGTTAGTGTCTATTCACAGAAGTTAGATTCCTTTTGACTGCCATTTGTCCAATTCAGTTCTTAATTTATTCCACAGCACTCTGTGCTTTAAATATAATTAGCGCCATTATATTTCTAGTTTTAAACCATTGTAGTTGTCGTATTTTCTTAAATTAATTTCGTTTTCCACAAGGAAAAACAGATTAGGTGACAATTCGTTCATTCAGGATATTGGTTTGCTCAAGCAAATTTTAGTTTCTTCGAAATTTTTGCAGCTTCTTCGATATATCCCGTTAATAAAAATAATACCTCTTAGGTGAAAGGATAGTCCGTTCTATGCTTTTATTCCCAGCAAACTTTTTACTCTTGTTGTTTTACATTGCGATGCATATCATTGTTAAATAAGCGTTAGAGCTGAGCAACGGAATTTAAAAGGTTCATTCGTTTAATTCAGCGGTGCTTTTAAAAGTCGAAGTCAGGAGACTAATTTTGAAACAGTTGCGTAAGAAAGGAGAGTATTTACTCCTTACTGTTGTTCTTAACTTGTTTCTAGTTTTTCCATCCTTTAACGCTGTCAACTAAGTGAATAAAGCTTATGAGTGCAAACAGTCGTATTGCATGAAGAGGAATTAATCTGGAAAAAGACTGTGGGAGTACAGTCTTGTTAGAAATGCATACGGATCTTTGAAAAAATTTAAACTAACGTTGTTATAATCAGTATTATAATCACTATTAGCGTTGCATAAATATACATTTACTGCTGAAAACCAAAAAAATATTGGCATAAAGTTTTGGTAAATGTTAATTAGATTACCAATAATAAAAGCTTGATGCCATTCAAAAAACATCATCTGAAATAGTTGACTGGAATGAGTTACAGTAAAGTTTTGCCTGTCAATCGTAAACTGCTCACAAAACCTTTATCTTTTCTGCGGTTATTGTAAGAGTTGAACTGCTCATATATGTAGTACTATTGATTTGAAAATTGTATAATTGAAAAAATCGGAATTTAGTTGAACAAAAAAAAGGCTGATTAAATGGTTGGGTGCAACTTTTTTGAAACAAAAGGTTTGCTATATTTGACCTAAATATCGGTAGTGCAAAAGTGTCTAACATTGGCGGAAATTAACCATGTCATCGAAACTGGGTCAAAGATATAAGAGTATCTGAGACGAATAAAGTTTGTCAGTTGCCATTATTGACTTCAACGATGAGCATTTATTGTGGCACAGCCGCGGCAATTGTCTTTGCCGGGGCAACAATGCTGGCTTGCATAATTGCCATATCGTCCATATACGATAGTCTTGATGGTGTCAGGAATGAACTGGACACGGAAATTGCAAGTTTTAAGGTAATTTTAAATGAGCTTTCTTTTCTACCGCTTTATTTAGCTTATTGCTGTTATCGCTGAATAAATCACTCTCGTTGGTTTCTCAGTATGACCAACTGTGACAATAAGTTACAGACGACTGAAAAAAATAAGTGTGCCAAAAAATTAATAACTGCTTGAGTCATGGCTGATTAAGTTGAAGGAATTCAAAAACTTTGTTCAATTTTTAAAACCCCGTTCAGGTGATGACCGATGACATATGGAAAGAGATGGTGTTGTTAGGAGCCGCTACTCCAGAAAATCGTAAACGTCGTGAAATCATTGGAAGTGAAAAAGGGAAGGAAGGCGAGTCCGATGCGGAAAGTTCTGCTTACGGATTCCCAACACCAATCAAACGGCTTGATAATCCGAATATGTGCAGTACGTTAATCCCTACACGAACCAAAAAGAAGCATCCTTTTCTGAGCTAAAACGGAAACGACTTTTCAGAATGCATTCTTAAAAGTTGCCCGGCAGGCCCCCCCGGTCCACCAGGCCCTAAAGGTGTCAAAGGTATTGATGGAATGCCTGGTAAGAAAGGCGAAGATGCTCCGGATGCCACACCTGTCCAGAACAGAGCTCCTGAGGGCTGCTTCGTCTGCCCTTCTGGGCCCCGTGGATTGCCAGGGCCAGTAGGATTACCTGGGCTCCGTGGGATAAGAGGCCCGAGTGGTACACCAGGTACACCAGGCCGCAGTGGTACTCCTGGAGCACCTGGAGAAATTGGTTTGCCCGGCCTTCCAGGTGAATTTATTGCACAGTAAAAGCCAACAAGCCATCGGGTAAGAAATTCGCAGACAAAATGATACAAAGTTTCTAGGTGATGACGGCGGTCCAGGAAAACCAGGGCACAATGGAGC